TATGCGAGGTCAGCGACAGCACCACCACTCAGGAAGGCGTGCAGCGCGGCGGCGAACCAAAGCTGACCATGGCGTGGATGCCGGTGGTGATTGACGGGAGGATGGGGAGCTGACTGACAACGCCGATGGGCGTGCGCTCCCTTCCCTCCGACGTGCTTCCGACTCTCCGAATCCGATTATGCTTTGGGGATGCGGGCGGCGGAACGCCGGGCGGGTCGGTCGGAGTCGCTGGTCGCTCGCTCGTGTGGCTTGCGTCATTGACGTTGGTGACAGTGTCTTTGGTGTTGGTATTGAGCGGGCAAGCTTGAGAGACGAGACGGGCAAGCAGGTTTTCTTTTTTGCTCCGTCGTGTATGGCAATCAAAACAAGTTTGCTCGTCATCCCTTGATTTCCTTGCTGGTCGCTCCGTTTGCAATCCTGATAATAACATACCTGTCATATTGTGACCGACGGGCCGGTACGGCGGTAAGGGGCTGGAATCTATTGACCCCAAAAGCAACCACTACGATCAAGCCAGCACCACCCGCGACCGCCGTCTGCAAGAGGCGCTTGCGATTGCGGAAAAGCAAGCAATGTTGGATGGTGCTGATGTTGTTGCTTTTCCGGATTATCGACGACCGCAATCGCACGCTAGCCCCTTGGAGAAATGTCGCCCTCGCATCGCAATTCTCACGTCTGCCGACTCCCTCCCTCCCACCTCCCACGGGCAAGCGGTGAGGCGGCGGATGTGGCCCTTCCCTCCCGCCGCCCACGCCAGCACCGTTGGGCGCAGATGAGGCCCAGGGTGGGAGGAGGTGTGGACTTGGCGGTCTTCGGGGACGACCCGGGGAAGGGGGCAGAGAGCAGGGCTCCCTGGGCCCCCGGCGAGGCGGCGAATGGGGCCGGAAGCCTTCCCCCAAGTCCCGCGTTTGCGTCCATTTCCTTCTGTTGCGCTACGCGGACCCTGTCAGTGCCCGCCACCCCCAGACCCCCCCGAGCCCCCCTCGCCCCCCAGAACTCCAGACCCGTCATTTCGGCGCGGCCAGAAAAACCCGCGTCGCTGGTCCAAGGCGGGGGAGAATCCCAGACCCCGAGGAAATTGCAAACCCAGAGAGTTGGTCGAGCCCTGCTCCGGCAGAAATAGGTGGACGAAAGAGTCTGGTGCCCATGTTGCGAGGCCAACGACGACGATGCCCAATCAAGGCCAACGGGTCGGGTGCAAACCATCCATAGTAAGGCCGCATGCTGGCACTGGCGGATGCAAGCGGTGCGCTGAGTTGTTAGTTTGTTGCAAAGGGGCGGTCAGGGCCGAGGGCGACACCGCAACTCGCGGAAGCGAAGGGCGAGTCGAGTCAAGGCGACGGGGACGGTGCCGTGTTTGTCCATGCGTTTGGGGGACGGCGATATCCAATGGACTCGCGCGATTTTCGCAAAACGGGAGGGTGTCAGTGCCCACGGCTGCAGTTGGGCACTGCTCGACCCCCCCTCCATCCCCGCCGAGGTCCCCTTCCACCGTTCAGACCTGAACCCACCGCCTGCCATCCATGGCCGGCTTGTGTTCCGGAGCCCTGATTGCAGGGCACCCTTCCCCTGTAAACTTTGGCATTTCTTTTCCAGAACCCCCCCGAGCCCCCCAGTTGCCCGTTTTGTCCTAGGCCGCCCTGGATTTAATCTGCCCCACGGCGCCCTGTTTCCTGGGACGGGCACCCTTACACGCGCCGCCTCCCGCCTTACCCACCCCCCCTTCCCCTTGTTCCCCATGCCCACGCCCACACTCCCACACTCCCACACTCCCACATTCCCACACGCCCCATCCCCATCCCGTTTGTTGCCCATCCGAGTCACCAGGCATATAAGTGCTGCCTTCCCACCCCACGAGAACCTCTCCCTCCTCTTGGTCAACTTGCCAACGATCTTCACCACTGATCCCCCGAGGACACATCATATTCGGCTCTCACCCACTCTCGATATCTTCAGCATCTTGATCAAAAACATTAAACACATCGACGACCACTTGCACCCACCACCCTCCATACCGCAGCCATGTTCGGTTCCTACAGCAGCAGTAGCTCATCGAGCTCCTACACATCGGGGTCTCCCTTCAACTCCTACTCGTCCTTCAGCCGGCCCATGGACATTGCGCCAACCCCGTTCGCGACCCACGGACCCGACGCCAGCTGCGCGTTCCCCTCGTGGCCACGACGGGCCAACCTCGACTACGACGTGAACGAGGACCGCGCTTCTTCCTATCTCTCGGATGAGGACCTGTTTCTGGACTTTGAGGACGACTCGCGCAGCGTTTCCAGCAACAGCAGCAGCGGCTCGCCCGTCATCTCCCCGCCCACTGTCCAGCTCCTCACCGAGGCCGACTTGCTCGAGCAGCAGCGCGAGCGTGCCAACTACCAGCGCGAGATGATGCGGGTGCTCATGCACGAGAAGGAGCGCCTCCGGCAGCAAAAGGCGGCGGGGCGACGGAGACGCAGCGGCGGCTCGTCGTCGTCAACGTCGACCAAGAAGGCGTCCAAGAGCTCCAAGCTCAACGCCATGACGCCCATCGCCGAGGCCGAGTGAAGGGCACCGGCACGCCAGCTTTCCAAACTCCCCTTCGCCCCAAGGTGGCTGTGTGGCTGGTACCACCAGAACAACCACTCCTAATCGGTACGTCTGGCTGACATGGCGGCGTCGCACTGCGCGCATCCAAAGATATCGATCGCTAACGCGGCTTACAGACGTCTCTCTCTTACCCGACCCTATTAATGCACCCCGATGGCCACCTGAGTCATACTTGGCCACCACGGGCGACACCAATACCACCACGACGCTCACCCGAGACAGGAGGACGACAAATACGAATTCCAAAACCCAATCTCCCGCCTGTCTTGGAACCATCAAAGCGGACGCACCCATCCCTCCCAAAGTCCACGATCGCACAAACGCGGGTTTGAGTTTTCTCCCCCGTCCTTGGTCCTCCATTTCGCTGCACCGGTCCGGACGGGAACCCTCCCGAGCCGACGCAGGCGGAAATCCTTCCCCCCCAAGTACCCCTCCGCCTGCACCACGCCCCAAAGGTACCTCGCTGGGGGTGTCACCGCCCCAAAGTGCCGACGCGCCCTCTCATTGGGCGCATCAACCGACACATTGCCGAGCAGGGCCGGTCCCGATCCGAAGTGCGGAGGATCGACTGCCTCGCGAAGCAACAACAACCCGCACCCACGCAACCCACCCACACCACACCAACACTCTTCCAATGGGAATTCACAGCCGCCGCTCCCGCAACAACACAACGAGGCGGTCTAGCCTTTGCTCTCGCTCTCTCCGCACACGCGGGGGAAGAAGCGGTCAACAACACCCTCTCGTCGGCATTTCGCCATCCCGCACTTCGATTTTCCGCCGGAGCGGGTTCTCCCTTGCCCTATCTCTTCAATCCTGTTTTTATTCTCTGCTCGCGCACCCGATAATATTTATTATTTCCTGTACTTGTTGTCGCGGGATGACAGGCAACGTCACCGGGCCCAGCCCTCTTCTGTCTCCGAGTTGTCTGGTGGACGATGACTCACATGGAGCCCCCCCCACCCACCACCACCTCACCCACTTGGGCATCTGAGGCCTGGTGTTTTGTACTTTCTCATTTTCATCGTGTGTGTGTTTTGCATGGCCCAGTCGCCCGGTTGGCTTTTCTGGGTTGGGTTCTCGATCGGTTGGGAAAATATTTTCATCATCATCGGGTCAGGGCGAGAAGAACATACAGTGCACACTCACCATCATCATAGTCATTAGCATAGGAGTTTTTTTTTTCTTCCCTTTTTTGGGTTTGCTTTGGAGAGAAAGAGGAGGATACCCCCAGACCCCACAGTGGTCTTTTGGATTTGGCTTCGAGGCAATGATACCCCCACCCGATTTAGCATAGCGATGATCTTTTTGAGTTTTTAGTTTAGCGTTGGGCCATGTCCCCTTTGGGGGAAGAATAATATTGAATGTGTTTGAATACTCTACTGGTCGCTCGCATCGTGTCTAGCTCTCTCGTGAATGTGACATGACTTTGGACTCGTAGCCCTTGTCTGGGTGACGAGGCAAGATACTGGGAATGGGATGGGCGTGGGCTTCATGCTGTGATAGTGATATCTGCCCTGGTCTTGTGTGGTTGGTGGAGCGTCGTCCAGTGGTAGAACAGCTTGTGATGGCCGCCGTTGGCGGTTGGCTGGCGCCGCGCTTGTGGTGGATTGGTGGGTTGATGGGAGGCTGGCGAATGGGGATAAACATGGCAAATATTCAGTCCTCGTCGGGCTAGGAGCAGATATCGTTCGTCCTCTCCGTTGTTTCCCTCTGACTGGTGCACCAGCAGTCCTCCTGCGATTCAGCCTGTACGAGAACTCATCACCAATGTCAATATTGACTCCCCTCACCCACCCCGGCCATCTGTCCGCCATGTATCACAGCCAGGGCGTGTGTTTGTGACGACTTTCTCCCCATCCATCAGTCCGACAACCAGCTACCTACCTACCATCTCCCCCAACCCGGATCAATGCCGTGCTGCTGTTTATCGCCCCCTTCCCCACCCCCTTCCCATCTCCGTCGATTCCACACCTAACCGCCAACCCAACTGCCGCGCCCCCACCGGACGGACCGTCAATGCCGAGAATGCCTCCGTTCGTCCTCGACCCCAGACCCCCTGTGATCATAACCCAACGGCACGCCCCGCCTCCGGACCCCTATTTCCCCACACAAGGCATCGACGGCGGAGCCTGAACCCTACCTACCTAACCCAGGGACATCCCCTTCGCCTCTCTCCACTTCACGACTCGTTCACACTCACCACCCTTGCCTCACCAACCAGTGATAAGCAGAGAAACCATCAACAGAGACAAGCACGTGCAACTTATCAAGGGCGTGTAGCTTAGCGGCAAGAGCGTCCGGCTCCGTCCGGCTCCGTCCTGGATTCGAGTTCTAGCATGTCTAAAAAATCCCTGCACTTCGTCGCCGCTCATTTCTTCAAATGGGCTGTGTGAGTTGTTGGGTGTCAGGCGTTCGTGGCTTAGTGGTAAAATCCATCGTTGCCACCAGCAAGTCGGGCTCAGTTTGTTTCTGCTGGACCGACCTGCGCGTTTCGATGGGCACCGCGTTCGATTCGCGGCTGACGCAGGAGTTGTCTCCTTTTGGTTGTTTGTGTTTTATTTAGGGAGTGCTTTTCTTTTGAGTTGGTGGGGTGGAGGTGTGTGGGGGGGAGGGGGGTGGTGTTTTGACGGGATGGGGTGAGGTGCTGGTAGGAAAGGGGGGGTGTAGCTCGGGAAAGGAGGAGGGGCGATGAAGAGAAAGGGTAAGTTATGGTTGATTTATGTATCGGGATTGACAAACGTAGAGTAGATTGTGGGGAGGAGAGTCGGTAGGCATAGCTCAGAGTTCTAGTAAATATCTGTTGGTCTGATCGTGCCTACTGCTCTGGGCTGTCAGACTGTTGTCGATGCGGCGACGCGAAGGCCGGTGGATAGATGGCCATTAGTTGGTCTTTTCCTTTCTTCAAGCGTAGGAACCGCTGCTGACAGGATGAGACTGCTGACATCTCTACTACATACCAAGGAGGCACGTCGGCCCAATGTAAGGGGCACTATCACATGTCAGTGACAGAGCCATGATAATATCCCCGCCTCTCAACGAGTTGACATGCCGTCGTCTCCCTGTATTGCTGTACCAGCTGGCGTCCTCCGCCGGCTCCCGGTGCACCGCTCCATGGATCTAGTCCTCGGCAGAGAAAACAGGACATGCTATAAGACCCAAAGTCATGACTTCAATGCAATGTCTATCACGGAACCCAGTGTATGTATCGACACCCAACAGCAACAATCTTGCTCGTCCGCAGTTCCCTATACCCCGAGTAACGGAGACCCCAAGATGATAAACGCCTCAACTCCTTTCCACCCAAAAGACCAGCCCAGCCCAGCCCCAGCTGCAGCACGTAGACACCACCGCCTCCCCTCCGCAACCTCCTCAACTCCTCAACGCCTCCAAGCGATTCCGTATCTGATCCATCATGGCCTCTGTGTCTTCCTCCTCCTCCTCTTCCACCGCCTCCTCCTTCCCCTTTTGCGGCAGCGTCGGCACGCTCGGCATTACCTCTCCCGCCTTCTCCATCTTGTCCTTGAGAATCTCGCCCAGCACCTTGTCCACCTCGCCCTCGGCCTCCTCCTCCTCCTCCCACTCAGCCTCCCCGTCCACGGGCAGCACCTCGCCGACCATCTCTTCAATGACGCCCGCCTTCATCAGCTCGACGCTCAGGTCGCGCATCGTCATGGCTAGCCCCGGCAGGCTCACGAGCGTGTTGAGGTCCTTCATGACGCCGACGCTCGCCTTAATGCTCCCCTCGATCTTGCGCAGCGCAAACGCCTCGTTGACCTGCATCTGCACGCTGCTGAGCTGTGCCTTGGCCGTGACGAGGCGCTGGCCCTCGCGGCGCGTGCGCAGCATGAGGCGCGCAAAGTCGCGGACTTCCTTTTGCGCCTGCTTCTGCTGCGAGGGCACGCGCTGGCCGCGCCGGTCGGCGGCGAGGATGAGGTTCTTGGTCTTGAACTCCGTCTGCTTGAGGGCAGAGATGTCGCGGTCGAGCTTGCGCATGTTGGAGCGGAGGAGGGTGTTGCATTTTCGCATCTGGGGGGGGGGGTAGGGTTAGTTGGGTTTAAGGGGGAGATGGGGGAGGGCGGAGGGGAGGGCGGACCTGGGCATTGGGATCTGGCTTGGCAAAGAGGGATTTGAGGGTCTCCATGATGAGTGAGAGGGGGGGGGCGATGACGCCCAGTTCAGTGGGGAGGGGTTTGTCGCTGTCTCGGGGGGTTGTTGTCGACGGGAGGGCTGGGTGAGGTTGTTGTTTTGGCAATGGCGGGCGGATGGGTGCTGACGTCGTCGGCGACGATGCCGAGGGTTGCGATGCAGGTGGGCTTGTTGGTTGTCTTGATCAGGTGGGGACGCCAAGGGATACCTACGGCGTAGCTGAATGGCGCCGGCTGGCAACGGGCCCGCCATGATTAGGTACGCCACCATTGTTATGTGGGGGCATGGCAGCTGTAATCTTTCAAGTTTCGACAACTCCAGCCTCAACGTCGAGACTAATGCTTGCTGAGTTTCCAGCAAGGCTTCAAATATCTGCAAGACGCCAGTTGATACAGGATAATAGTTTCACCGGGCCGAGATAATCAATTTCAGTCTTTCTCGTCGAATTGAAGACGAAACATCACACCAACGACACCCCGCCAACTGCCTGTTTACACTTCAGTCAGTACCTGTTCTGCGGGATGGCCGCCTCAGAAAGTGTGCCGGGCCACGACTCTTGTCTCTGATCTCGGCCCGTGTCTGCAAGAAGGGTTCCGTGGCTTGGGGCTTCTCCTGTCGACCCAGCGCGAAAATAGAATCCATGACATAGTCTCGAGTTCTCACATGCAGGGCTGGCTGTGCTAGGGATTGTTGGAAGGATTGCGGGAGTCCTGTGCAGTCTGTGCCAACAACCTGGATACATAGTACATCATCTGGGACAGAGACAAAGACGTCGAAACTGAAACCCGTTTGAATTTGGATGGCACAAACCCCATAGACTCAAGGTCCATCACCCATGTTGGACGGGCAAGGCATCCATGATCATGGAGCTGTTAGATCCGTAGGCGCCTTCTAGTTGCCTCTCGAAATGGGCTCTAGAAATACGCAGTCGGAGGCATTGCGCAATGGAGGAAGCCCAATACAAGTTGATTGCAGCCTGGCCCCTCCCCCTCCACCGCCCTGCCCGTCAGCCCTGCCTGTGGCCTGTGCACACCAAATCTTCAGGCTTCTGGCGAATTCCACCACGACCCCTGGCCGTGCGGCTCTAGAAACTGCCTGACAACTGACAAGTGCAAGCTCAAGAGCAATCATTCCAACACCCACCCCGCGCGAAGCCTCTTCCTCCAACACTGCACTTAACACCTCCAATCGCAGCACCAGGTACGACCACGTCCAACTTACTCCGCCGCCAAATATTCTTCTTCTTGCGCGACACCACAACATCCCCTTCCAACAAACTCTCCCCAACACTCGCGAGAGCTTCTCTAACCATCGTCAAGCTACCCCTCCCCCGCACCCAACGCTCGTATCCACCCGTCAACGCCAACTCCCCAGCACAACCCATACACAATGGCGACCACCGTAACGCCCGAAGGTGAGTGCAAATTTTGATCTGATGGTCCGCGGACCTCGCCGTCGCCTGCCCTCGCTAACACGCCCCCGCAGTCCTCTGGGCGCAGCGCTCGTCCAAGGCCGACCCCGAGAAGAATTTCATCTACCTCACCATCAACGTGGCCGACGTGTCCCCGTCCAGCCTCAAGCTCGATCTCAAGCCCGCCGGCCTGACCTTCACGGGCACCTCGGAGACGCTCAAGCGCACATACCACCTTGAGCTCGAGCTCTACGCCGAGATCGACCCCGCTGAGAGTAAGATCCACCACACAGCCCGCGATGTCGAGATCAAGCTGCGCAAGAAGGATCTCGACGACGCCTACTGGCCCCGCCTGCTCAAGGAGGCCAAGAAGGTGCATTTCCTCAAGACCAACTTTGACAAGTGGGTCGACGAGGACGAGCAGAACGAGGCCGCCGAGGAGGACTTTTCCCAGTTTGGCGGCATGGGTAAGTAAACTCTTTTCCTCCTGGAAGCCACCATTGCTGACAACCCACGCAGGAGGTATGCCTGGAATGGGCGGCGGCGGCGGCGGCATGGGTACGTGAACAAGAAACCGGAAACCGGCCTCAGACGAAGCCCTGGACACCCGTGGGCGTATTGCTGACGTGACATATAGGTGGCGGCGACTTTGGCGGCATCGACTTCTCCAAGCTCGGCGGCGGCGGCATGCCCGACATGGGCGGCGACTACGATGAGGACGAGGGGGACGATTCCGAGGATGAGCTGCCTGGTCTCGTCGAAGAGACGCCGGCCGAGGCCAACAAGGTCGAGGCAAACGAGGGCGAGGCCAACAAGGTCGAGGCCAACGAGGGCGAGGTCAAGAAGACAGAGGCGTAGAGTGAACGACTTACTGACAGCAACGACACCGCCGCTTCGGATAGCGTCTTGTTTTCTACCTCTGGCCTCCTGGCCCGGCATTGTACGAGGACACGAATACGTCGCGGAAAAGCATTATCGGAAGGGTAAAGTAGGGTTCTTGCTTGGCTGGAGCAAGGGGATCAACCTTGGGTTCTTGCGGGCGAAATGGAATATCTTTTGACTTATCCCATCTCAAACAAGTGCTGCTGCTGTTGCTGCAACCGATACAGGACGACCTCGACTGTCCCCACGGAGAAGAAGGGAGCGCGAGAGACACGGAACAGCCAACCCGATCGGCGTGCCAAACTTGCGCCACCGATGCGGAGGGGGGAAGAGGTCGGTCTCAAATCTCCAGGCAATTAATATCACGGCTCCTCCTCTCTTAGGTCCCTTTCCGTCCCGAGTTCCTGGGTCGTCACTCGTCGTCCACACACGCGCGCCCCCTTGGCACCTGTCTCAGATCTCTCAAGTGAGCTAGCCTGGACCGGGCATTTCTGTCCCTGGCCTCTTCTCTGTCCCACGACACCAGAAACCGGAGGCTGATGACCGCTCTTCGCAAGCCCTGTGCCCCGCCGCCGTTACACCGGATTTCGAGTGCGTTATCTTTTTTCTGGTGTCTTGCTCCGGTGCCCATGTCTCGGTTTTCTTTTCTCTCTTCTCCCCCCTTTTCAGAGCCGCCGGTTGGAGGAGGGAAACGAAGAGGCGGCCGCTGCGGCCCGTCGTGATGGTGTGTTACACCGATCGTGATGAGGGGAAAGAGGGCAAGCCACACCGTCCCACGATCAGGCAGATGGCCATCCCGCTCCTCGGTGCCCCCATCGAGGACGACGGTACCCGCCCCTACCCTACCAGCTAGGGGGCATTGCTGGGTATCGTGCGTGCGGCTGAAGGAGACTGGCGGCGGCTGTGGCGCCTCCCCGCGCCGTGGACGACTGCTGGATCGAGGGTGTTGTGTGAGGGGGGTTGAGATCGATGGGGAGGCGTGGGGTGACTGAGACCGATCGAACGGGTCCAAGGTCGGAGGCGAAACGGGGGTAGGGGCAGGGGGGTGGTATACTGGCCAGAGAGACATCAAGAGGTCGGTGTGGGT